TGGGGAAGTCATCCCAGCCACACTTAATGTTCCGTTTAAAATTCAATGGAGTTCTGGGTCATCATAAATACCTGAAAAGAGCATTTGTTATGCCCACCAACCACTCCCCACCAACTTCCACTGCTCTGTTTGTGTGTTCAGGGCTTCATCTGAACCAAGTGCACAGAAGCTGAACTGGTGACCTTTTAACATCCCAGTGTCAGGCTAACACTTTTCTACACCATTGCAAGGTACCATGCAATCATCACAGACTAGTTGGTTAAATCTAAAGCAAAAAAGGATTTCACGAAGTCTTCCAGTGCTGCAAGGTGCAAATTCCAATTAGCAATCTTGACAGATCAAATAAAGAGCAGCAAAAACTCAGCTAACTCCATGAATCACCGCACCATTCTGAAAGTTGACTTTGTCATCAATTCAACCTCACAGAATTGCTTAATCTTTCCTGTGATATTCCAGCCCTCCATCATGCACAATAGGCCATTGAGAGTGGAATGTACACTGATGTGTGGAACTGGTCTCACAACTCCTGTACCAAATTGGGAAATGACTTCAAATACATCAGTATGTCTACACTACCTGCCAGATTGGCAAGCAGCAATCGATCCAGCGGGGATCGATTTATCGCGTCTAGTCTAGACCCGATAAATAGATCCCCAAGTGCTCTCCCTTCGACTCCTGTATTCCAGCTCGGCGAGAGGCACAGGCGGAGTCAACGGGGGAGCGGCAGCAGTCAACTTACCGCAGTGAAGACACCGCGGTAAGTAGATCTAAGTACGTCGACTTCAGCTACGTTATTCACGTACCTGAAGTTGCGTAACTTAGATCGATTCCCCCCCCCAGTGTAGACCAGAGCAAAGACAACATAGTTAATCATTTTATATAATCATCTAATTCAGTTATCTATTGTTGCGGTTAACTCATATGCAATCAAGGTGTCATGAATAGATTTAATTTGTAGGTATAGGAATAAATCAGATAGTATTATAGCTCCCAGTTAAGGGTCAGCAATAAGCACTCATCATTTAGGAGTTAGTCGTAAATGCTCAATGTTCAGGGGTTAGGGGTTATTGTTCATGGTGAGGGTTTAGCTACATGTTCCGGCATCAATGGCAGGGTTTAGGAGAGCCCTACTCCTAAAACAGACAACAAGGAGCTGTGTTAGGAAATAAAAAATGACCAGTCTGGGTCTGACACACCAGTTTCCACATGCCAACCCCAATGGATCAGTGCCATGGACTTGGCATGGGTCTGACATTTACCAGACTGTGAGAAGAAGAGCACACAGCAGGGATGGGAGTTGAAGCCAGACTGCCCTGACGAGAGGTGTTGCCTGAGATGCAGCTGTTGGGAGGGTACCACAGCCTGGGCAATGAAGGAGAAAGGACACAGTGACCCAAACTCTCAAATATCACAGGGTAGATATCCAAAACAACAGGATTCCCACCCACTCCTGCTACAGGAGCCAAGCAACCTGCACATCAGCCCTCAGGGCATGACACCTCTGCAGCAGCATCTGGACCCGTACACAAAAAGAAATCCCATCTCCTGTTCCCATCCTCCTAGGCTGTGGCCTATTAGCAGGAGCCAAGGTAATCACCCTACCAGTCATAGTAATCCAGCTGGAGGAGTACCTTAAAGAGGAAGCCTAGTGTCATGGGTGGATGGCTAACCCAGGGAGAGCGCTGCTGCTGGCCTTTCACAATGGATCCCTACATGGAAGCCACACTGCAGAAGGGAGGGGGCAGCTTTGCTGAGCAAAGCCACCAGCATCTGCCTCTCCACCCTGTCCATTTCCCAGCAGTGAGCTGGTACAGGCCTTACATGCTTTCCCACCCTAGTGTGGGGGAGGGTAAGTAGCCCTAGATCCCCAAATGCAGTACCTCACTGGAAGTCATCTTCAGACATCTTTCCCTGCCTCTAGGAGATGGACAGGAAATGACCATGTAGGGCTCAAGTACAGTAAGAAGACACATAAGGGTCCCTGCCTGAATACATAGAACAGAGAAGGTGGTGCAGCTAATGACTAGTACATCTCTGCTGCCACCTGCTTCATGTCCAGCTCACACCATCTTAACAGCTGGGAGAAACAGATATGCATGCTAAGTGGACAGACCTACACAGGGTCATGCATGGCTCTTGGGCCAGAGACTGCCTCTCCCAGCAGAGAGTGTTAGTCCCCAGCAATTCTTCCCCTGAGTCATGAAAGACAAGAATGACCAGTGTGCACATCCAGCCTGTGAAGCAGGCACATATGCCTGTCCACCACAGTTGCCAGGTCTCTACCACCTCCCCCTGCAAGGGTCTGCACACTGGGTCCCATTCCCTGTAAATGGCATCTTGGTGCACCAAGCACTTAATACATAACTTCAGAGAAGCAGGCAGCTCCTGTCAACTCCAGATCACGCCCACTAGTCTAGAGGCGACAGCAAGTCACAAGTACCCAGAAATCACCTACTACAGGACAGGCCCAACAAGGACAATAACAGAACACCACTGGCCATCACATACAGCCCCCAGCT